TGCTTGGTAGGTTGATAACGGGACGATTCTACATTACGTACTACGGATGTCCCGAAGATTCTGATATAACTACCGATATAACCCGCCCCAACCAATACTTGGAAATAGTTTTTGCTTCTGGAGCAGGTGCAGGGTAGAGGCATCTTCAGCATACTTAAAGCCTCCAGGTAGCCGCCTTCACCCTAAACCCTACACCTTGACCCTATAATTCGACTAACCTTAAGCCTTAAATCCTAAACCCTAAACCCGAACCCTATAATTCCACCAACCTAAACCTCTGAATCCTAAACCCTAAACCCTAACCCTATAAGTCGACCAACCTTAAATCCTAGACCCCTTAACTGGGTGTTGGCGGGCTCCTTGTCTAGGTGGCTCTGCTTAAGGTTCAGGGTCAAGGCGGTTTAGGATTTTGGGTGTGCCCAGGGCTTAGAGTTTAGGGCTTAGGGGGCTTTAATGGCGGTTCAGGGTAAAAGTGCGTGGCTTAGGGTTTAGGCATCTGAGTTGGAGTAATGGTGAGATAGAAGCAAAAACATGCACATGCAAAGAGAAGACTTGCGCTTGGCGCAGACCGTGCCTTTCGTAGCCTTTCAGGGCAGGCATGAACCCTAATCCAAAAACAACTTTAAACCCTAGCCTCTAAACCCTAAACTCTAACTTCAAAACACCTGAAAGGCCAAAGCCTGTCACCCCAACCCTGAAGCCTCATTAGCCCCTAAGCCAACACCTCCACATCCCTGAATGTCATGATATGTCCTTATGTAGCTCTATGTACCCTCGAAATCCGAAATCCCCAACTTCACCCTCTAGGCTCTAAACCCCTGATCCTACACCTTAGCCTTAAACCCTTAATCATTTCCTAAACCTTGAACCCCTAAGCCCCGAAATCCTAAACCTTTAAATCTCAACCCTGAAGCCTATGCCCCTAAATTCCTAATCCCTACACGGCCTGAGGCGCGGGTTGAAACCCCTGGCCGATGCCATCCGCGCAGCCGGCTTGAAGCCGGGAATGCGCCTTGTCTCGGGGGTTGGGTTTCGGGCTTAGGGGAGTAAGATTCAAGGTTTGGGGTTTAAGGTGTCTTAGTGAGGGGGTGCGCTGGAGCTGGAAGCACCCAGGCGCGCACCGTGACCTGCAGGAGCCCACCCCCGCTGGCGCTGAACCCTCGAACTCTGATCGCGCTCCTGTCTTCTTATTCCTGCTTTGTACACATCTACCTTGCCCGGGCACCTGTCTAGACCAGGCAGACGCACGGTTTGGGCCGTCTCTGGCTTCAGGGTGCTTGTGCTTATTGAGATTGAGCCTGGACTTGTCCAGACTAGACCGGTGCCAGTTTGGGTTTGGGGGTGGCTCGAGGCCTCTAGTTTTCTTCAGACGGTGCCCTGACTGGATGCCTCCAATCTCGAACAAATGGACCTGTCTACGGCAGTGGGTGCAAGGTTCGGGCTGGGTCTGGCTCCAGGCTGCTCGTGCTAATTGAAGGGTGTGGATATGGTTGAGTTTGGGGGTGGCTCGAGGCCCCCTGGCTGGACTCAAAGGCCTGGAAGCCTTGCCTGGAAATGTCCTCGAAGGGGGTCTTGCAGGGCTCCCTTGAAAGGCCTTTCCAGACACGCCTGCGAAGGCTGCCAGGCCGTGGGCCTTATGTTGTGGTGAGGGGCGGGTGGTGCCCTTCGAACAATTGATTCTTTTCATAAGGACGCCTGCCATGCCCATCCCGCAAATCCCGATGTTGCGCAAGATCCCTTTACGCTTTATATAGCCCTTACAGACTCCAAGTCCACCCATACAAGCTTCGCATATCCTAGCATAAGCCTTGTGTAGAGGAAACCCACCTGGTAACTCGCCACCTTAAACCGTAAACCGATTCCCTGAGGTCCCGGCGTGGTTGGCCATCGAAACCTTCATGAAGCAGAAGAGGGCGACTCCTGAAATCGAGATCGTGGACCATGCTGGTGACAGCGTCCCGGGCAGCTGCAAGTCATCGACAGCGGCCAACACTTATTCCTCGCGCAGCTCGAAGCATGGCGTGCAGGTGGCAGCGACTCGGATCTATCCAAAGAGGGTCAATTTGGGTGCCATGGCCAAGGGCTTAGGCTTTTGAGGCGTAAGGGTTGAGGTTCTGGTTAAGAGTCTGCTTTGCGGAATGTAGGGGGCCGTTTTGCAATGGAACTTACAACATGGCACTTGTTTTTCTGTGTTGTGAAATTGGCGAATTGTGCTGAATTCGATGATAATCCCCTCTCCTAGGAGTAAGACACCCCACCCCTAACAGTCAACATTTCCATGGCGGTCCATCCCACTATGGCAGTCTAATTTAGCTAATACTGCAGATATCAACCTACCTAGAATCGAAGTATGGCTAATCCAACGATGGTGAGAGCTTAAACCCCAGGAAGATGGGACATTTGTTTCCCCTACGCCAAAGCTTAGAAAGATTGAAAGTGGCACGTTCCTTCCTAGGTTTATGTTTCAACTTCTACTTGCTCTTTAGCCCTTTACACTAAAACCCTTCAAATCCTAAGCCTTATAGGCCTTGAATCCGAAGGTGGCGGTGACCTTCAGGGCAAAACACGACAGGCAACCACCTGCCTATGTGATGACTCTGTGGCAAGTGGGCCGTTGGGCCTTTCCCCATGCCTTGTGGTGCCCTGTCTGCAACTCCAAACCTTCCAAGCCGCTGCTTTCTGTCCCGTCATCTTTTTGCCTTCCGGACGTTGCACCTTGTATCTTTTCCCGAGCCCAAACGCAAAACTCTACGTAGCAATTGGTGAGGCGCAATCTTGGAAAGTGGGCAGCAGCCAGATAGCGCCGATAGCGGGGTGGGGGGGTTCTTGTTCGGCCCAAACAAGAAGCCCCCCCCCCTTCTTGTTCGGCCCAAACAAGAAGCCACCCACCCCCCTTCTTGTTCAGCCCCAAATAGGAACCCCCCCCCTCTTATTCGGCCCCAAACAAGAAGCCCCCACCCCTGCTTGTTTGGCACCGCCCTTCTTCTTCTTCTTCTTCCCCACCCCACCTCTTCCGTCCCTCTTCTAATAGTAAACATCCTGGTCATAGTGATTGATAGTAGTAATAATAGTAGTAATAGCAATAGTGATAGTCATAGTAGTAGTATTAGTAATAGTCGTAGTACTAGCCTTCTGGCCCCGAACACGAACTACTAGTAATAATAATAGTAGTAGTAGTAGTAGTAGTCATAGTAATAGTACCAGTACTAGTCATACCGAAAATAGTAATAGTACTACTAGTAGTAGTAGTAGTAGTAGTAGTAATAGTAATAGTAATAGTAATAGTAATAGTAATAGTAATAATAATAGTAATAGTAATAGAAACAATAATAGTAATTGTAATCGTAATAGTAACAAAGTAGTAGTAGTAGTAGTAGTAGTAGTAGTAATAATACTCATACTAACCGAAGTAGTAAATGTGATATGAAGAGCATTTTTAGTGCTAGTATGTACTTCTAGCAGTAGTAGTCGTACACCTCTTCCACCCCGCTTTCGGCGCTTTTTGTAGTATTGATGGTGGTAGTGATAGTGGTAGTAATAGTACTAGTAGTCGTAGTACTAGCCGTCGTAGTAGTAGTAGTAGTAGTAGTTGTTGTTGTTGTACCAACGCCGCAGCCATTTTTGGTCATGGACACGTCTCGCGACCGCAGCCGTTCCCCCCGGGTTTTTGCCCCGGCTCCGCGTTACTTGTCACCTTCCCCGAGCTCCTCTCCTTCCTCATCCCCTTCACGTCCTCCCGCTCCCGCTCCGCCTCGCCCGTCCTGCACCCCACCCACCGCCCCACTCTACGTGAAAGTGGGCCACTATCTTCTAGTTCAGAGGACGTGCGGAGGGTTGAAACTAGTCGGGGGGGGTGCAGGGCGGGATGGGCTTGGAGCGCCACAAGAAGCCATCTATATCCCGAGACTTATATTGGCAGTTCTCAAAGAATTTTCGGAGCAGCCTTGATGGGTCGCTGACTACTACTATTACTCTTACTAGTATTATTAATTATTATTCTTCTTATTACTGTTATTACTATGACTATTTTTATTCGTATTATTATTACTAGTACTATTATGATTACTATTACTATTATCATTAATAGTACTGGTATTACTACTACAAATAGCATTATTATTAGTGTTATTACTATACCATTGCCGTTACTATTACTATTACTATTGCTATTACTACTATTATTATTATTATTATTGCTACTATTGCTTTTATTATCATTACTGTTATTATTATTATTATTACCAGTACTATTACTACGACTATTACTATTCTTGATGTTACGATTACTATTGCTATTAATATTTTTATTACTATTATTTTTTTACATTATTATTGTTCTTATTCTTGTTATTATTATTATTAATATGATTCATATTATTACTATTATTACTATTATGACTATTATTATTATTACTATTGTTACTATTACTACTATTATTACTATTATTACTAGTATCATTGTTACTGTTATTATTATTAGTATTATTATTATTCATACTATTGCTATTATTAATAATATGAATATTGTTATTACTCTAATTATTTCCACACTATTATTATGATTATTACTATTAAGTATGATTACTCGTGAATATTATTACTGGGTACTAGTATTACTGAATAAAGGGGGGTTGGGAAGAAGAAGAGGGGGGCGCTTCTTGTTCGGGGCCAAACCAGAAAGGGGGGGCCCTTCTTCTTCTCCCCCCCCCCTGCGCGGGGGGTGGTTCTTGTTTGGGCCAAACAAGAACCCCCCC